TAGCTCAGAGTATCGAGTACAGACTACTGGTCGATAGTGAACTTCAGGTGTCCTGTCAGGAGTGTTCAGTGCGCCTGCTGAGTGTCTCTGAGGGTCTCTGCTGCTTTTATACTCTCTCACAAGCGTTTGTGGCAGCTGACCAGCAAAAGAGCAGAAGTAGTACAAAGTAGTACAAAGGTCGCGCTCACGTCACCGCTGCTCTTCTCAGGACTACGGACCAGCGCGCGCGGCCGTTGCGGCGACGTGACGTCAGGCATGAAAACGGCGCTTGACTCCTGAAGTTCATTCAGCTCAGTTTAATGTGAAAACAGAGTTTACAGAGCAACTTCACAGAGGAAATGGCAGAAAAAACTCTAAAAGAACTGAGACCAGAAAAGGAGCTGTGACAGAAGCAGAAGGCTGTATGGTCATTAGTGAGATGATCAGAAAAGTGTCCGTGTATTCACAGCATGGACATCGTCAGGCAGTGTAAAGTGCTAAATTGTCTTTTCATTACAACTTTACAGACATGTGAAGACTTTGTGCAAGCAGTGTGTAATTTTCTGTAACCTGTCTGACTCACCGCTGAGTAATTTCCCTTTGTGAGTGACCCAGACTAAGATGTAGGTAAAAGTTCACACAAGACAGTACACTGACACTTCCGTGCATGTTGTAAACAGTGGTGAGAAGTGATGGAGTATTATCTGCTCTACTATAAGCACCCACTACTGTTTACTATGAAGTTTTACTCCATTCAGTCATTCCAAACCCACAAGTACGGGTATTGGAATGACTGCTTTCAACAATATAAAACCGATTTTGTTACAGATAGATGTAAAAAATTATTCAAATACAATGAAAATATTCTAAAGTTGTAAACAATTTATAGGAAGATGTAAAAATGAAGAATTTTCATTGATGAATGGAGCCGTAGATGATGCAGTAATAACTGAGAAAGCTGTATAGCAGCGAGAATTAGCTTATAATAAAATTAATATGCAAAATGCCTCTTCAAAAAGCACTGAACCAATCTTGCTGATTAAACAGCTATTCATAGTAATTTTATGGGTAATATTTTGATGCTTGATTTATTATTGAATAATATTTACAATTTTTACAGTGTCATAATTCTCATTGTTCTCAAAATACTATAAATTGTGAACAGACCACAGATTTATGCTTGCTTTGGTGGAGTTTGTAACATTTCAATCTACACTGTATAAGTTACTGTATAACAATTATTGTATGACAAGTGATTTTAAACTTTTTTTAACAGTAGTGTATAAACTTTAAAATATGCAGTTATTTGAAATGTGATTGTTTCATAGAATCATTGACACTTGTCTATTTTTACTGGTTGTAACATTAAATTCTCCATTCTTTCACTTTCAAAGTCTCTTTAATTTGACTACAGTGTCCCCATGTTCTACTGTTATGACACTGAAAAGTTGAACATTGAAACCTGGTTTCAACACTGACTAAGAAACAGCGCACCCATTTTGGAGAATATTTTGGGCACATATTTTATATGCACGTCAGTCATTTTCCTCTACTGAGTCAACTAACCACACAGATGGTAGTCAAGCTGTTTTGGAGCACTAGGAGCACTCAAAGAGGATGGTGAATACTAGCAGCCAGATCCCAGTTATACTGTATGCAGTTGGGAGTTGTAACTGTCCTGGAGGCACCGTAGGCCTTGCTCAAGAGTTGAACAGCGGTCATGGACATGACCTACCTCTTCTATTCCACTTCATCACAGCCGCCTTTAGACTATGATCTGATGATATGGCCTAGGATCTATGTCCACTTTTTATTGAATCATGAAAGTGTCACAATCACGAGGAAGAACAGGGCAAAGTGCATCCTGACAGCATTACCATGACATCATGCTTTATAGTATGATTTCATCTAAATTTATTAATGACTTATACAAGTTCAAAGCAAAGCTCTGTCACCTCTGGTTGCTTTGACTGTGTGGTGTTTCGTCGCTGATTTAATTCAGTTATCATCAATAACCTCTGATCACGCTACAGAAACTTTTAAATCTCTGTTAGTGTCCTTGACTAAACTCTGTTCCTCTGTTCTTTAGCGTGAGAAGATTCAAATTCTGACCTTCCTTATTTGCCAACTTACTTTTAGATGCTCTTGTGTCATTAAATCTTTATATAAATATTTGCAGTTTGCAGTTTGGCTAGAATACTTGATAAGCAACAATGACATTTTATTGCTTGCACCACGTAGGCTGTTGCAGCTGCGAGGGTTCAATGTCCTCAAGTGAACTTTCAGCCTTTCTGTTTTAAATCTTCTCTCACAATACAAACAGGAATCAGCTGTCCTGGTTGGAGTGAATGATGATGCTCCATACAATAGTAGTGGAAGCATTTTACATAAAGAAAGCATTATTTTTGAGTCCAACCCCAAAAAAGAGAAAAAAAGAGTAAAGCTCCAGAGGAAAATAGCAAAATGTATTCTAGGCCTAAGTACAGCTTTTTCTCATAGAGTATTAAATGTTAAACAGTACCAGTGCTCTTAGAAAGTTTGTGAACCCTTTAGGATTCTCTAAATTTCTACATAAAATGTGATCAGATCTTCATCTAAGTCGTAATAATTGATAAAGAGGACCCAATAAAACAAACAACACAAACAATTGTATACTTTTTCATTCATTTATTGAACAAAGTTTGTTGGTAAATGTATATGAGTTATCAGTTTGGTATTGGGGATAATTAGGGTCAAGAGGTAGTCAACTGACAATCAAGTGAGAGTGTAGGTGGCCCTGTAAAATATCAACTTGAGCTTTTCACTATTAAAGTCAGGTCTTTCCTACACACATTTGTGAGCACGCACCCTGCCTTGGAAAAAGAAGAGTTCTGAGGATCTCTGAAAATAGGTGGTTGATACCTAACAGGCTTTAAGAGGTTACAAAATGATTTCTGAAGAGTTTGAAATTCTCCACTCCACTGGCAATGTTTAAGGATCTGCAGGCCTCTCTTGCACTGGCTAATGTCAGTGTTCATGAGCCCACCATAGGGGTGTCACAATGCAACTGTTGCAAGACAATATGCACTGTGAACCAAATAAAATTAGATTTCATGCTATAAAATGCAGAAATGAATTCTATAGTTCTGTTTAATGCAGTCCATGATACTCCTAAAACTGAAAACCACAAATGTAAAGAAAACTGTGCAGCTCTCAGAACTGGAAAGTCTACCTAAATTCTACAGAATAATGGCAGGGCACGCATCTGTGAACTGAAGCTTAACGAAAAGTGGATCATATAATAATGGGCTGTTAATGATCTGAATAGTTGGATCAGGTGTGTTGGGAACAGGAAGGACACTACAAAGTGCAGTGCAGTGGGCCTCCAGGACAAGAAAAACACTGATTTAGAGTCTATAGTGCAGAAAGACAACAACCCTTAAGACACCGGTTAGTCTACCAAAGAATAGTTAAAACAGGAGAAAATTTGTGTTTTGGAATGACCAAAAAGTCCAGACTTTAATCCAATATAAGTGTTGTGACAGAATCTGAAGATCTGAAGAGTTCTTTAAGGAAGAATGGGCCAAAATTCCTCCAAGTCAAGTGTGCAAGACTGATCAACAGTTACAGGAAACGTTTGGTTGAAGCCATCGCTGTTCAAGGAGGTCAATTACTGAAAGAAGAAGTTCACATACTTTTAACATTGGATCACTTTATTCAATAAATGATTGAAAGAAATATATAATTGTTTGTTTTATTGTGTTCTCTTTATCTATCATTATGACTATAAAGAACTAATCACATTTTACTTTAGATTTATGTAGAAATTCACAGAATTTAAAGGTTTTAAAAACTTTGGAGCACCACTGTATATAGTATCCTGTATACTGGTTTAAACTATTTGTATTCATGGTAGGGTCATTTATGACATACTGCTGTGCTGCACCCATGCAAATGTCACTAGTTTTTTATAGTTTTTGTTTATTTCTGAAGATATCATGAAAATCGCAAGGGTGAAAATAATTTACTATATTGTTGGTAAATTTGACAATGATAGTAACTGGATTTAAATAACCCTTGATAAAAGAATGAAGCAAAGATCCATTATGGCACTGGAAGGTTTACCTTTTGTGTAATTTTCCATAATTAACACTTTACTAGATCTTTACAGCAGTAAATAGAAAACATCTATGTCGTTTTGTGCTGCTGTCATTGGTCTGATGTTCAACAAAAATTAAACATCAGCATGTGTGGTAAAAAGTCATTGCAGCCTTGCCTCTAGACTGGTAAGGCAAAAGAATTAATAAGCAGCTTTACCCGGAGGATGTAGACCTACTTTTTTCAGCAAAAAAGAAAATATAAGAGAAGCAGTAACAGCTGTCTCCTAATACAGACGTAGTCATGATGAAGAATAAATATTAAATTTAGTCCTAAACTTAACCTTGGAGGGCAGGGCAGTAAAAATTGATGTTTGACAGTCTGCAATATTTAGTTCAGGAGCAGATTGGATATTGTGTTGAAGACCTGAAAGACTTCAGCTTGTTCTGTAGAGATCATTTAGACCAGTGTTTTTCAACCCTAGTCCTGGAGGCCCACAGCCCTGCACATTTTAATGCTTTGTCCTGTTTTAGGTCAGCCAGTTTAATTCAATAATGGGCTGTTAATGAGCTGATTAGGTGGATCAGGTGTGTTGGGAGCAGAAAGAACCCTAAAAAGTGCAGGGCAGTGGGCCTCCAGGACAAGAGAGACACTAGAGAAACATTAATTTAGAGTCTATGGCGTTAGGAATAGCAGGTATAGCACCGTGTTATAATGCTGATACTGCCATCTTGTGGAGAAATAGCAGAGAAACACTTCCTTTACTCGAAGGATTTTAAGTTAGCCCGAGTGTTTCGAGCAGTTTCCGTCACAGTAAAGTCTCTGTGATTATCATTATGGCGCATTTAGGAATCAGAATGTCGTGTGATGAAATAAATAAACACATTCTAAACGAACAGCTAAACGAACAGCTCCCGCTTTCAGAAAGTCTGCAGATGAACACATGTCACACCAGGACACCGTTAAGAGGATTGCACTCGCTTCCTTTTGAACTGCTCCGGGAAGGGATTAGACTTTCACTTGTCGACGAAAAAACGTAGAAAATTAGTGCCTTTCACCGGAGCGGGTCCTGAATACTGGAGACTCATGACAATCCAGCAGTGCATATGCCAGATATGTACCTGTGGGTAAGAACAAAGCTACACGGTGCTCATACACTGAGAACCAGACTGCGCTCAGAGACACAGAGCTTTACTAATCACTGCGCCTTAAGGAGTGAAATAAACACATTACCTTCGCTAGCTTTAGAACCTTAGCATATCAAAATTTCATCTTTACTTTTGAAAACGACTTTAGCACAAGAGAAAAAAATATTTCAAGCTAGTAAATCTGTTCCATCACATTTAATCGCTAGCACCCATGAATTCTTATTAGTGAGAACTGAATTATAAATTATAAATATAATTCCTACTAATAATAGGTTTGTAGAACCCAACATTGTAATCATTTCCCAATAATGTAATAACCCCAACATGTGATAAATATTTGCACTTTATTTGGTCAAAAAAGAAAATAAATAAAACTCAATAACGTAATAACTTGACCAATAAAATAATACAATGTCTTAACTGATAATGTAATAATACTATTTTCAGGTTGACCATATGTAATACCTTCTTACATATTTGGAAATGTATTATATTTGTAAGCTGATCATTTTCCTGAAATATGTTTTCAAAATGGATGCTGTAATACTTTTAGTCTTAAGCAAATCAGATGAAAAGTTATATTTGTGATTGTTATGTCGTCCTCCATTTGGGGAGACTCCATTGGAACATATACTGTCTGGAATGGCTCATTTTAGCTCTTGATCCTTCCTGGCTCCACCCCTCCTCCACTGCACACACCTGCAGCTACTGTATGGACATTTACTCTCCCATATACTCCCTTTTGTGTAGCCCAGTGGTCTCCAAACCTGATCCTGAAGAGCTACCTTCCTGCAGAGCCTGGATCTGACCACAACATGCCACACCTGCTTCAGCTAATCAACCTTTTCCCAAGTGACAAATTAAGTAAGAGGCAGGGCAGCTTACTGGATACAGGCTGGAACTAACTAAAGGTAGCTCTCCAGGACCAGGGTTGGAGACCGCTGGTATAGCCTGTTTGGTTGCAAAGTCTCTGTTCGTTACTAAGCTGTGGTTCTTCAGCTTTCTCTTCCTTGTTTTTAAATATGGATCTGCCTTGGATGTACCTGTGTTTTGACACCTGCATGTTGTGACTGCAATTGTTGGACTGCCTTAAATAAAGTCAGTAAATCAGTTAAGTCTGACCAGAACACAACCAGAGGGCTAACAGTGGTACCTTTTCAACATTATAATAAGGTATTACATATGGTCAAACCAAAAGTGTAATACATTTTCAATAATGTCTTATTACATGATCAATACTAATCTTATTACACTATCAGTTAAGACATTCTATTGCATTACTGGGTTTTACAAGGTTTGTACATGTTATAGTCGCATTTTTCTACATGACAAATTTCATATTCTTACCAGAACTAAAAACATTTTTAATTTGCATTACTGATATTGAAAACAGTGGATTAAAACCTAAAAGCATCCATATCCTTCAGGCTGAGAACATGCAGCCAATCAGTGAGTGCTCGCTGCTCTTTTATGCTCCCTCTCTTTCACAGCTCTAGAGAAGTGAGTGCCACATGGGTTTATTTTTAGCTAACCACCTCCGCTGCCATACTGCTCCAGCTGTACAACCGTACATGCTATCTGTTCAATTATTTAAAGTGTGATGGAAAGGAAGGCTACCATTGAGTGTAGAGCACAGCTGTGAATGCACTTGCAGCTGTACATGTTCTGAAGAGTAGTACATAGTACAAATGGGACAAAGTTGCACTATTGGCACTTTAAACGAGGTAAGGGTGTTTGATTGTGTGGTGTGTGTGTGTGTGTGTGTGTGTGTGTGGAGAAGCACTTACAGCAGGCCATAGACCAGCACACTAAATTCATCCTCTGGTAACTGTCCGGTTTTCCGTCAGCTATTTTATACAAAGAGTGATTTGAAAAATGTAAAGTTTCTCTGTGTACTATGTAAACTTGTTCTTTGCTACCATTTTCTGGACTGTCCTGCTCTTCACAAGGAAACATCACTGCCCACAGCAGCCAAATGTAGAGGAGAATTTAGTCCCCACTGGCTGCCTACTCACTGAGTACCAGGAGAATTTCCTCGCTCACTGTACCACAGCCACCTGTGCTGCTACAAAACCACAGAATGAGTGGAAGCCACTGGAGGGAAAGATGGAAAACACAACCACATTCAGGTAAGTGGGATCACACGCTGTTGGGCAGTGTGGAACTGAGGGCCAGAGTTCTGCATAGTTTGCTGATTTAACTGCTCAAACACACCAACTAAACCTGGGAATTAACCAATGAGTTGAGTTAGGTGGCTTCGAGCAGGAAAATCACCAAACTGTGCAGTTCTCCACCCTGATGAAAGAAATGGTAAATCTGCAAAACTGAATTTTCTTTTTTTTTTATATAAACTTGTTTGATGTAGAAACACTGTTAAGGTTTCGAAATGTACTGTTCACTCCCCAGTCCATATCTGGAAACTAAGATGCAAACAGCATGTTTTAAATTCATTGTTATCATGAAACAATGAAACAGCTTACTAAAGTTTAGCTCCACCCATTCACACTGAAGTTGTAAGGAGTGTTTCAGATTGGACTGCTTTTTGAACGAGGCACAACACAAGGCAACCAATCAAATCAGTACTCGTTTATATATCAATCTTAAAAACACAGTAATAAAACTAGCCGTTTAATTCCAAGATATTAAGAGAAGTTTGAAAATAGTCAAGTTTTGTAAGAATTCTGACTGTTTTGGTACATAAGCCTACACAAACATTATAAATGGAGCTCACGAAAATTAAGACACAAAAGTAGGATACGGATCCTTTAACGTATTTTCAGTTTGTATATGTGATATGTGATGTAGATGTGATACACCCAAGCTTGTGCCTGAACAACCTCTATGAACAGCCAAATTGTTGCACATTGAGCAGAAATGGATTGTGTCTTTCAGACGGGACTATATGCCTCATAAAGTGACCAGAAGGTCTACCAGAGCAGCAAAGCTTTATGTTCCTCCTGATGGTACCATGATGTTGACCAGCACATATTCAGAGGACTACAAAAAACATCCTGTACAGCAGCACATGGTGAACAAGCAAACTAGGGAATACTCCCCTCCAACTACCAAGATGGTGGCTACGTCCCTATACAAAGGTCGGTACTCTCATGATTAGATCCATATGAGATTTCTTGTTTCCATTTAAATGTCATTATTCATTTTAGTTCACTTTCAAGATCAGATTTTACTATTTTAAAATGTATTATGTCCTTTTCAATTACAGAGGAATTTAAGCCATGGTCTTTAGAGAGATGCCAGCCCTTCAGAACCAATGATAACCTGACAGTGAATCAAGACAAGTTTGTGACCACCACCAAGGGCCTTCCCACAGAGGTACCTAAACCCATAAAGGCAAAAGAGGCTTGGGGGGGTAACTGTGCCCCGTTTCAGGCTACCACAGAGTTCCGTGACCAGTACAAACCCTGGTCCCTGCAACTAAAACAGGCACACAAAGTAGAGAATTACAGACCTCCAGTAGGTAGTATGGACTTCCTTTCAACTACACATGCAGACTATGTGCTGCATGAGTACCAACAAGTTCAACATGTTCGGCCACCTATCAGTGCCTGGGAAAAGGACAAGGAACCATTCCAGGGAAAGTCGGTCATGAAAGAAGACTACAGGGCATGGGACATGGTATGTCAACCACACATGAAAGAGACGGTCAAGTCATTAGGAGCCTCTGAAAATACCTCCTTCAGATCCCAGCATAGACGCAAGTCTAATACCTTCATGCATGTGCCTATTCAGAATGCACCAAGTCATAGACCAATGTCAAAGGACTCGTACATAGGGAAGCCACTAGGACTCTGCCCTGCCAGTTTTGCAGAGCCACCAGGTTTTGAGTACACCTGCAGCAAAGCAGGACATAGGCTATATCGCACCATCTCAGTGGGAGATGTTTCATTGGCTCAAGAGATAACAGGCAAAAGCTTGCCGCCTTCCCAGCGGCGAAAGGTCTGTCCAGGTAGGGCCAAAGACAGGAGAGCTCATTAGACTTCCAAGTTCTCATTAACTCACCTTATTTTTCTAAGCACCAAGATTGGAATAAAAGCATTTGATCACATTCTGTTGCAAGATGGAATTATATCTATAGGTTGAGAGCTCTGTCTTTGTATTTAAAGACCTCCAAATCCTCAGCACAAAAAAAAAAGGGCACAAACCGCTTAAACTCCCATGTGACATCTTAAAACACCAGAAAGAAGTATTTAAACATGATGCAGCCCACATGAGAAACCGCACTCTTTTATTGTATGTGCAAATGCCATCCTCACCTCGTGACCACACCAGACAAAACATGCCAGAGCAACAGCAGCAACCAGTTCTCTTTTTGGACTTGATCGAATACATTTGTCAGTTAAAATCACTAAATTTCAAAAGCATGAATGCCTCCAAGAACCCCTTGGTTCTATAATTATAGAATCATTTGAAAATGACTCATTTTGAAGTGTTCAGGTGAGACCCATGGCCACCCATGATGATGAGTTTCTGAAAATCCTAGTTCTACTAAAAACAATTAAAAATACAAATATACAATTTTCCCCATTGCAAAAATTGCACAAAAGTGAAAATTTAAATGGTCTTACTGTCAAAGTCAAAATATAACTAATGTTAACTTTCGTGTCACACCAATCATGACTAACCTAAAAGCCAGACATGTAGTAGATGTAGTGGATATCTCCCATAGTATTAATAATTAGCATGCCATCAGGAATAAAAGTATCAAAAAGGCATGTTATCAATTCTGATTTCATAGTGCTAATACTGAAAAATGATCATTATAATGTACTGTAATGATGTGCTGTACTACAGCGTGTGTGCGCATGTAAAATTACATATTCATGGTAAATTACTTCATTACAAATGCCAGTATTATAAAAAAAAATAATTTATTTTAGAAAAAGGTTGCACCACTACATATTTGCTTTTCATTTGAAAAGCACCTGTGGTAATCTGAACATGTTCAAAGAATTCAATGGAAAACAGAACAAAATTCACCTTAAAATTAATCTATAGCACACTGTCAAATTAGATCTGCAGACAACACAATTAATTTGGGGAAAAAAAGGACTACACAAAATAGTTGTGGGCAGTTTGTTCTGGACATCATCATTTACAATTTTTAACATTAAAACCTAATGTAAATTTAATAACTAAAATAACAATGAAGTACAGTGCTGACAACACATACAAACGGAAAAAAAGGCTTTAAAATCAAGTGGAACCTCATTAAAAAGCCATCAGTCATCAAAGTAGATGTGCTTATTTGCCTCTTTTGCCCGAGCGATGATTATTTTCTCAGCCTTAGAAATAAGCTAGAAAAAGAAGATATGGCATATGTTAATTTCATGAATTCAATACAATTTGGAGAAATGATAAAAACATATAGACCATGTCTCAAAGCCAGGAATGAAGCTTCATTTCTCTGCCATTACATCACTGAAGGCTGTCCTGCTTTTTAGGATCTTTCTAGTGGCTGAGAAATCAAAGGACTCAGCTGTTGAACCCTTCGAGACCTTCAGTCACTACAATTCTCATGCGTAGCTCAAAAACATTCGAAAAATGGTGAAAACAGCCTCGAGTGGCGAGATGCACTACCAGAATGTAGACTGAAGTTATGAAATGTAAATTTTAATTCAGTGTTTTGAAACGTAAGATTTAAACATCACATTACTTACGCCAGTAAGCCGTGACATTTTGACACAGCCTGCTCTGGCCATCTTAAATGTGCACAAGTTTTAGCAAAGTCTCTCCTACCTCTGCTGAAGCTTTCAATTTAAGACACGTCTATAGTCTAAATCATAAGTGTCAAACTGGATTCCATTTCGGTCACAACTCTGCAGAGATCAGCATTTAACCTCTTCTAACACTCCAAGTACAACCCATGAACGCCTTGCTAATTAGCAGGAGTTAAGTCAAGTGTGTTTAATGAGGCAGAACTCTGCAGAGCTGTGGCCTGGAAGGAACCCAGTCAAACACCTCTGGTCTAAAGATTTGCTCACCTTTTCTGTGCCCCGTTTTTTGTCCCTGGAACGATTCAGTTTTGCCTGTCGATCCACCAATATCTTCTGCCAATACCTTTGCTCATGGTCACCTTTACAGCAACAGTAAGGTTATTTTGTTAATATTTCGGAAAGGAAGAACAAAGAATAGTCGCATATTCTATAGCTGCACAGAAGACATGGGTTTGCACTTAGTCTTTTAAATCAAAACAGGATAAAGTCTGAAATGTATTTAAGTAATTGGGATTATCATTACATATGACAAATATGATCATTTCTTTAGCATTCTAACCAGCAAGAATCTCCAGGTTCCAGTTGTGTTTTTTCTGCAGTTCAGAACGAGCTGTAATAACTGCTTTTGCATCCTCAGGTGTATTAAATCGGATGTAACCCTCAGCATCTCCTTCCAGGATATCCACATACTTCACTGCAGACACTTCAGACAGGGTGTCCTACAATTTGAAGAGAACTTGATTTAATTTATCGAGTCGATTCCCTGGAAACTGATGCATCTTTAAACAAAAACATTTTTATAACACCAATCAGTGTCCTAATGCTTTACCTTAACAAGTTTCTTGCTTGGCAAAGGCTGGCTGTGGGTGATTTTGACAATGACTCCACTCTCAAACTGAGGGCCAGAAGTTTTTGGTTTATCCTTTTCCCCTTTAAAAAAAAAAGGAGAGGGGGGAATACAAGTACACAGTTAATATCAAACTTCAGGACCTTCATTAACAGGATAGCTAAAATATGGTACTATTGTTACAATGGAAAAGGAAACATTTCCAATCAAATGATTCGCATTAATCTGTGTGGCACTTACCAGCTTTCTCACTGTTTTCAGTAGTTGGATTGTCACATTCCATACTTTTTTGATTGATGTCATAAATGTTTTTCTTCAGAGTTCCCATGCAGCGCTTCTGAAGTGTTAAATACTCCTCCTTCATGTCCAACCATTCTTTCCTTAGTTAACAAACAAACACAAACCAGGTTGAATAAAGAACTTTAAATTAAATAATAATAATAAGGCAAAGACTTGGGGGTGAGGGCTTTTTAAAATTGACATAAATCAGAAAGAGTATTGAAAAATCTCTGGTCTTTGCATTAGAAGAATTAAAAAAAGAATGCATATACAGTCTTTCTTTGAGCTAGACAAACTTAAAAGCTACAACGCCACAATCACATACTTCCTGCTTTTCACAAATTCTAGTTTTCTGTAATGATCTAACATTCACTCGTAACCACATACAATAGATTTGCATCATCTAATGAATTTGTGGAAAAACGCAGAACGTTTTGGTTTAATCTCTGCAATATACCTTTTTCAACAACTCTGGGCTGTTGGTTAAAATTAAGTGTCAAGGATTCCAGAAAACCTGGATTCGTGCATCACTGAGTAAGACAAATTAAACAAGTTGCGCTCTTGTGTACAATCCAAAACGGTCAAGCTGAATGAAAAACTCACCTATTCAAACATCAATTGTTTATCAGATACTAAATTAACTTTTTAACCAAAAACATTGGTTAAACACTTATTTGTTGGTTTACTGGTTAATCATTAACATCGCTAGTTTAGATGTTAAAGGCATAAAACCAAAAAGCTTAGTGCACAGCCTGACACCCACTATACCTTTCATATACAGCCATTTGCAAAAGTTCAAGCGCTCCCGGTTGTTCACGTTTTTGTTGACTGAAGTGAAAATACATTAACACACCCTCTACAGAGAACACACCTAAATATGGCATTTTTTCACAAATGTTAGGGCACAATTTTTATTTATTTTACTTGTTTTATATTGTTTAAATATAAAATATAATACAACTTTTGCACAGGCCACATTTTATTATTTTCAGTGTGTTCAGTTCAGCAAATAAACAATAATTGTGCCTTAAAATCAACAAAACGTAATTTCACAAGGCGTGTTCTAACTTATGCATAAAGCTTTACTCTGTTGTAAGTTCAGCAATCATGCACTGCAGGAATGTATTTTCAGTGATTCTTACTTTGAGAGCACTCTGAGAGGAATGACCTCTTCCTCAATCTTCAGTCTCTCCTTATGCTTCTTCTTTCTCTTCCTCTTGGCCTTCAGTAAGGAGTCATCCTTCTCATCTTTTTTTCCATCTTCCTCCTGTTTTTCTTTGTTGTTCTCAGATACCTCTGAAACAATTATCAACACTAACAAGTCATGTACAATACTTCAAATCCAGTGCTAATTTTAGTTAAACAAGCACTAAAGAGGTTAAAATAATTAGGGTATGCAATGTCAGTGATAACGCTGATTTTGTACAAGTAAAAGATTTCGTTTTGCCATTTGTTCTGGCTTGTAGTTGGACAACAAAAGTAGTCAATCTGAGGATCAACTTAGGCTTCCTGTCTAAGTTTAAGCTTCACAAAAACTAACAGACAGCTGCTGTTAACTAATTTTATAACAGCAATTAACAATTATAACTGCTAACCAGAATACTCAGGCTGAGATTAATCCTTATTTGCACGCATATGAAAGCACAAAACTTATGACAAACAGCCAATCTCGTGAAACATGAGGAGAAAACATACTACCTAAATGTGTAGAAAGTAAAGCTTTCATAACATTAAAAATAGCAAATCTGCCACCATTGACACCGGGGTTGGATCAAACTCAGTTTAAAGTTAGTTTTGTGAGCAAGAAATACTGAGACAGACCGCTGGATCGAGAATGCTGAGAAGGTTATCTGTAATTTAAACTGTAACCCCAAACGAACATTTAAATCATCAGCAATATACAAATTAAACCATTATAAATGTATGTAATTTAGACTGCTTGTGCTAGTCATTGTATTTAGTTAGCCTCTTATCTTTTCGGCTAGGAGGATGGGGGAGAAGAATTCCTACCCTCTGCACCACCAGCCTCCTCCTCCATTTTCCTCATTTTGGCTGGTTTCTCCTCTTGGCCCTCTACCCCAGACACCTCTGAGCTGTGTGACCGTCGTCTTTTCTTCTCTGCCTTCTTCGCTGAA